AGAGTTGGTTCAAGAGAGCTATGATCAAGATGATGAGAATGTCATTAACTTTGGGGTTCAAACCAAAGGAGATGATTCACTCATGGAAATAAATGCTCAAGAGTATCAAAGGAGTTTGACTCTAGGTGCTCCATGAAGATCATTGATCAAGCTAGAGAGAAGAATCATTTAGGTTCTTGAATGGATGACCTATTTGATCAAAGTGTTCAAGATTGAGTCCATTGCTACACAATTAGATAGGTTGCAAACTATCTCAATTGTTTCAAGTGTTTTTCCAATGTTTTAGAGTCAATAAAGAGAATTCTACAAATTTTGGAGTAAATTGGAGTTATCTACAACTTGTGGGGTGCAAGACCAATATTTCACTTTTAGAAGGGTGTTCAAGATATTTTACTTCAATATTTTGAGCTGATTTTCAAGATTAGAGTTTGTCTAAGTCTAGGAGTTTAATTTTCGAATTTTATCTAGTTAAATAAGTCATGAGGACTGAATTAAGCTAGAGTGTTTTGATTAGGAGTTTTAGATTCCTTTTAAGTATTATCCTATTCGAGGATAACTCATTTAGATAAGGTTTCCTAGATTTTAGATAGAGTCAAAGAGATCAAATACTCTTCTACTTCTACTCCTGCGTGAGATAAGATTAGGGAGTCCTAGTTAGTCTTCTTTTTGGTGTTTGGCCGAAATTCATAGCCTATAAATAGGGGGGGGGATGGCCGAAAATTAAAGCACCCTTGAGTGGTCATTTTTGTTGTCTCTAATGAGAGTTTTTCCTGTGAGGAATTTTTGTTAAATGGTGTTTCCATTTTTCGTGTCAAGTATGATTTAACCAAGAGGGTTTTCATCTTGTCTTGAATCTTTTGATCTTGCAGAAACCGTTCTTTTTCAAGTATGCTTCTTGATAGAATTGTTTTAAAACTAAACTTCTTATTTTCATACTGCTTCTAGTAGTTCGATTGATGAGCCTTTCTTTTGGTTTGGTTTTCGAGTTCATTGAGTGTGTTCATGAGTTCCATTGTGGAGTTTGTCCTACTTTTGTTAGATGAGTTGTGCTTTGGCATAAGCATTTTGAGATAGTGTATGTGTTGCATATCTTTGTTGTTTATGGAGATTACTAATCAATAGTATTCCTTCATAGTTGAGCATTGTTTGCTCCTACGTTTCTTGAGTCTCTTGAATGATGACTGATCGAGTATATTGAATAGTGTCCTTACTATTCTTAGCGTGAGTTGTTGTTTAATTCGAATCTTTCATGGATAATGTGTTCTTTGCTTGGTTTGAGTTAAGAGATAGAAATCCTTAGACAAACGATCGTCTTACTGTGAATTTTTCGCACTCTTTTGAGTTTCACGGGATAGACCAGTTATTTTCGTACTTTCTTGTTTGATGGTTGCATTAACGAAATTTGCTTCATCTACGAGATTGCTATCAACCTCGATCAAGGGAAAAAGATTACAGTGTGGATTACTCCCCCTGTTAAGTACGCCACTTGTAATCTTCTCGTTGCATGCCAAGCTATTGACCAGGTTCATGATTGTTTAAGTCAATAATAGACAGATTACTTTGACTTCTCAAGTAGACGGTTGTCTTCATATACCTATATAATCTTGAGCGTTTTATAATAATGGAGATGCATGATCATCATACTTTGAATGTATCAATATACACCATCCAAGTATTGATTAATTGATTAGAGAAACCGAAACTTTATATAGTACTTCAGGACCAAATCGGTCTACATCATTATAATAGAAAGTCAAGAAGAAGGATCTATATGCACATCAAGATTTTAATCAAGTGCACTCAACGAGTGTTAAATATACAAAAGTCAAACTATTTAGACCGAAATTCTACTCAAGATTTTTCATTATCCTTGCTTCAGGCAAGTAGCAACCTTTTGAACTTCCTTAGAAGTGTTCAAAACTCTGGTATAACTCTTCATGAGTTTTACTTATATTCAGGCTATTCAAATTTCGTAATAAGTTTCGATAATATTCAGTCTTTTGAAACTCTACAAGAGTTCGATGCTAACAAAATTGTAAATGAACATATGACTTATGAATACTCACTCTAATATTAGTTATCATCCTATCATTCAAATATGATCATAAAAACAGATAGAAGATCATGTTACAAACAAACATAACATATCTAGATAAAAACAAACATAACATATTATATTCAAAAAATATGAACCTAAATATCTAGACACACGAAGACGTGATAACTTGCGTAAGTCTTCTGAACTAATTTATCGAGAATTAGGAATCATGTCCCTTTTTTAATCCTTCGGGGATTTCATATAGACATCATTATTAAATATCAAGTATCATGTATTAAGTAATCACTATAATTAAGAGACGCATTTCTTATCTTCATTTGCTACCAGATTAGCAAATAATTGAAGATTTTCCTTTTCATCCACCACAAGATAAACCGGACTTTGGAAAAAACTTGTGCAACAAAGAGGTTGGTCGATAATCTTTTGCACAATCACCCGCCAAAATCTAGCCCGTATATCACTTGCCAAACTTCTAGTAAGCAAGTAATTTCAATTCTAAGTATACATCGTCAAGTGTGTATTGCTTCTTTTTATTTTGTTGTGGCCAATAAGTTTAATGCATGCATCTACAACAGACTTTCATTTCATGATCCTCATTTTCATTTATTTTACTGCTCCAGCATAAGCAATTTTCATGTCGACATTTTATTGCTGATCAATTCCATGTTCTTTGTTAATGAGATCTCACAATCATTAAGTTTCCCAAGTATTCATATACTTCTTCTGGAAGTTAATTTACCGTAATGGGAAACTATTCCAGTTCAAAATTCTTATGAATTATAATCACTCGTAAATAACAAGGTTTAAAAATTCATAAGAATTTTGAACTGGAATAGTTTTCCATTACGGTGAATTAACTTCCAGAAGAAGTATATGAATATTTGGGAAACTTAATGATTGTGAGATCTCATTAACAAAGAACATGGAATCGATCAACAATAAAATATCGACATGAAAATTGCTTATGTTGCAGTAGTAAAATAAATGAAAATGATGATCATGAAATGAAAGTCTGTTGTAGATGCAGGAATTAAATTTATTGGCCACAACAAAATGAAAAGACGCAATGCACACTTGATGCTACCACTGGATCAATTTAATATGGTAAATATGCTATCGCAACATTACTACTTCAGGAGCAACTTTGATGCATTTACATATTGCCACTGGCAATATATTTTACTTGCATTCGTAATACTATGAGTAATGTAGAATATATAAGTACAAAGTAAAATATGAGAAGGAAATTTCTTTCTATCACCACATTTTTACTAATATTAATAAGTGTATGATAATAAAACAAAGTGCTTTCCTTGCATTCTAAATATCAAAGAAATTAATTCTTTAAAGAAAATATTTTTTTTCTTTGTATACATGGATACTATCACAATTACATGCAACTTATATAAATATCCACATGATCAACAGTCATATACATAGCTTAAAAATTGCATCGTGATTGTATGATATGAGTAAATAGAATTTATAAGAAAAAATATTTTTCCTTCATATGCAAACCAAATATGCATGATTTATGATTTACCTTTTTCTCCCATCATCATCATTTTGAGTCATTAAATTGAGCTCCATGATGAACCATCTCAGTGCGGCTAGAGACTTGTGCACCGAAAAGTTTTTGAGGTCACGTCGCTTTAGATCACGAAAACCTTTTAAAATATTCATTGAGGCTTCAGGCATTCAGAATCAATATGTACCAACTTCAGGCTGTGGTAGAAATAAAATATTCATTGAGGCTTCAGGCCTTCAGATCAATATACACCAACTTCAGATGGTGGTAGAAGCTCTTTGACTAGAGTCTCGTGCTGATAACGTATTATAAAATTAATGCTAGACTACTAATATGAAACTAAGCATAAGAATAAAGAGGAGAGACAAGAGAGTAGAGAGACATAAGAGACTTGTATTCATATGTATTTTGAAGCATGAATGAACTCCCTATTTATACAAGAAGTAGGGGATCAAACTGTGGGAAATGAATCACCTATCATTAATACTAAATATTACAGAATCATATCTCCTTGATTGTGAATAGAATAATACATGTTAATTATAGACATTCAATCAAATCAAATCAAATATTTCATAACACTTTTTTTTAGTGTGTGTGCTAATTTCTAAAACCAGTCAACAATCCATTGTGAACCTGGTTTATAGAATTGCCTCGTTACCACCGCCTTAGGGCCTAATAAAAAGGATGATTAGTACTTGTTTGTTTGTCAACTTAAACACAAAACCCAATGGAAAAGAAAACATCGTCCGAACAACTTTCTGATTTACATTTAAATTCTAGCTTGAAACATTTTTTGTTAGTGTGATTACTATTTTTGAAAAAGAAGTAGTTCAGTGACGAAATCTAAAAAAGGAAAATCTACAAATTTGCCAGGTTTTCGTTGTTTAGTGATTATTTTTGGAAAAGTTCTTTTTTAAAGTGACTATAATTGACAATATTTAATTGTTTAGTGATGATTCGTACTTGATATTTCAAATGTAGTTCAAAATATTTTTTTTTCAAAACCAATATCCAAACAACTTTTTGCTCAAAATACCATCCAAAAAATATTTTCATTTCCCATTTAGTTTTCAACTTGAAATATTTTACACTTTTAATTGGCAAAATGAAATGTAAGATGACGTCCAAAGAAGCACGTAAATAACCTTGATAAAAAACTTAACCCCACGAGCGCGTGGAAGAAACTGCACTCCTCCAAAGGAGAGAGAGAGAGAGAGGGCTTAGTGTTTTTTATTACACTCGCGCTCTTTTCTCTCCTAATTTGAAAAACAATACGAAACGAACCTCCCTCCGACTGAACCCTACGAATCCCGTTTCTGGAACGGAGAAAAACTGATTTTTCGTGTTCTGATCAGCAATTTAACCGGTAGAATTTGTAGGTAGGGTTACGGTTTTTCTCAGCGCGGAATTATGTGGAGTGGAAATCGACAAGATATTTTGGGGAACACTAGCGCGGATGTTAATATGGGGAATTCGGAGCCGCCGTTAATACCGCCGGGGAATACTGGATCTCCGGGAGCCGGCGGTCCTCCTCCTCTGCCACCACCGCCTTCGTACATCGTTTTGCCGACTGAGGCGCAGTTGGAGGAGAAAGCGAGGAAGTGGATGCAACTTAACTCCAAGCGGTATAGTGATAAGAGGAAGTTTAGGTTTGTCGAAACAGAGAAGGAAGATATGCCACCGGAGCATGTGAGGAAGATTATTAGGCGAGTCTCCTTTGCTTCTTTTTTGTTTCTTGGATCCAATTTTATGGCAAATTTGAATTTATTTTCCGAGTTTTACTTGTTTCCTCGGTGTATTGTTGGCTTGATTTTCCCTGAACATGTTGGTGTAGGTACTTTTCTTGGTTCTTGTGATTCTTAGCAATTTAGGTTTGATGCTTATCGTTTTGTCTGAAATTTCCAACATTTCGATTGGCCTACATGAAGCAAAAATTAGGATTTCTTGAAATGCATTTGATTTGCATTGATGTAAGCTTATGTTTATGTTAGGAATCTATTAGGAGAGAACCAATTCCTGAGTGTAAGGAATCTTTTTAAACTCGTAGATACTTTTGCTATTTCCCTAGAGAATGATTCGAGAATGCTTTCTTCGTGAATGAAGACAAATAGATGCATGCTTACATGAGTTACATCTGAACTTTGCTCATCTTGTACCCCTTTTGTATGAGCGGAAGTGCTTTCTGTTTTTGATCTGATAACCTATATCTGCATTTTTTTGATTCTTAATTTTTTTGTTTCTATTTCAATTTTTGTGAAAATATAAAATTATGCAATTCTGCTTTGACATGTGAAGTCTGGTGTTCATATTTGTATGAAACTAGGATGGTGAGTGGGTTCCCTTTCCTTAGGTCCTAGAGGTGCTAATTTGTGATTTCATAGTTTAAAAGCCTGCTTTTTGCCAGAATGAGCTCCTATGTTATTTTTATGTCAATTCAAGATTTTTTTGGACCTAGTTATACACCTCAAGACCAATTCCCGTACTTTAGGGTCAGCAAATGGCATTCACTAATGTTGTCATGATTGAAGTGTAACTTTTATCTTCTCTTATTTCCAATGAATGGTTGCCCTCCTTTTATTTTGACATCTGTTGGAATTTGTCCGTAACAGAGATCATGGAGATATGTCATCCAAGAAGTATAGTCATGATAAGCGTGTATATTTGGGAGCCTTGAAGTTTATCCCTCATGCTGTCTACAAACTTCTTGAGAACATGCCAATGCCTTGGGAACAGGTAATTCCTTCATACTTGCTTTGAGATTTTTCTTTTGATTTCGCGGACTAGTTGGTGACTCAAGGACTGTTAATAGTCATGTAATGACCTTCGATTGCGCTTTTCATGGCTGTAGGTCCGGGATGTGATGTACCATATTACTGGTGCCATAACAGTTGTCAACGAAATACCTTGGGTGGTTGAACCAATTTATTTAGCGCAGGTACTTTTTTGTCCTATGATCATCTGTCTAATTATATTTTGGTTAGTTACCCTAAATTTATTCTTTTAGCTTTATTTGGCGTAACTTCTTATTCCGTACCCTCTATAACTCTGTTTGGTTTGGTTCTTGTTTAACTTTACAGTGGGGTACAATGTGGATTATGATGCGTAGGGAGAAGAGAGATCGTCGCCATTTCAAGAGAATGCGGTTTCCACCATTTGATGATGAGGAGCCCCCACTGGATTATGCTGATAACATTTTGGATGTGGATCCTTTAGAGCCGATTCAGTTAGAGTTGGATGAGGAGGAAGATCTGCTGTATATACTTGGTTTTATGATCATAAGCCCCTAGTAAAAACTAAGCTCATTAATGGACCTAGTCATAGGAGATGGCATTTGTCACTCCGATTATGTCAACACTGCATTGGCTTGCTGGACAGCTTCTGTCGGATCTAATTGATCACAATTATTTCTACCTATTTGACATGGAGTCATTCTTTACTGCTAAAGCACTGAATATGTGCATTCCAGGTATGCCAATTTTCTGTTCTATTTTTTTCCCCCTCAGGATAGGTTTTGTGAAACCTGCTGATAGTTATGGTTTTGTCCTCTTTTTCTGTTTAATTTGACTCTGCAGTCTAGCCTCATAGAATGGTTAATTTGTTAATTGTTCGATTTCCTTCCCTCATAGTTGCCTAGGAGTTGGCTTTTATTTATTTGTTCTAATCAGGTGGCCCTAAGTTTGAGCCATTGTATCGGGACATGGAAAAAGGAGATGAAGACTGGAATGAATTCAATGATATTAGCAAGCTTATAATTAGGTCACCCCTAAGGACAGAATACAGAATTGCTTTCCCTCATCTGTATAACAATAGACCCCGACAGGTTAAGCTAGGAGTTTGCCATATGCCTATGGTAATGTACATAAAGACTGAGGATCCTGATCTTCCTGCCTTTTATTATGATCCTCTTATTCACCCTATCACCTGCACCAATAAGGATAAATGGGAGAAGAAACATTTGGAAGAGGATGATGATGATGATGACGACTTCTCTTTGCCTGAAGGGGTTGAACCGTTACTCAAAAGTACTCCTCCCTATACTGATACCACGCCCTTTTAACATGAGATCTGATCGCATGTGGCATGCTGAAGATATACCTCGTCTCTGAGTGGTACAAGGAACACTGGTAAGATTGAGAGCACCTCTCAATCTAATTTGATGCTTTTCCATTATTTTGTTTGTGCTTCAAATTTATTTTATCTATGTGTCTTGCAGTCCTCCATCCTATCCTGTCAAAGTTCGGGTGAGTTATCAGAAACTGCTGAAATGTTTTGTGCTGAATGAGCTGCATCACAGGCCGCCCAAGGCCCAAAAAAAGAAACATCTGTTCCGGTCTCTTGCAGCCACCAAGTTCTTCCAAACTACAGAACTTGATTGGGCTGAAGCTGGTCTACAAGTTTGTAAGCAAGGGTACAATATGCTGAATTTGTTGATTCACAGGAAGAATTTAAACTATCTACATCTCGATTAAAATTTTAATCTAAAGCCTGTGAAGACCCTCACTACCAAGGATAGAAAGAAGTCCCGTTTTGGTAATGCATTTCATCTTTGTCGTGAGATACTGCGTTTGACAAAGCTTGTGGTTGATGCCAACATCCAGTTCCGTTTGTGAAATGTTGATGCATTTCAGTTGGCTGATGGGCAATATATTTTTTCGCATGTTGGGCAGTTAACTGGAATGTACAGATACAAATACAGGCTTATGCGGCAGATAAGAATGTGCAAGGACTTGAAGCACTTGATTTATTACCGATTTAACACTGGGCCTGTTGGAAAAGGGCCTGGATGTGGTTTCTGGGCTCCCATGTGGAGAGTATGGTTTTTCTTTCTCCGCGGGATTGTTCTTTTCTTGAAAGATGGTTGGGCAATTTACTGGCAAGACGGTTCGAGGGACGGCATTCTAAAGGGGTTGCTAAAACTGTAACAAAGCAACGTGTTGAAAGCCACTTTGGTTTGGAGCTTCGTGCTGCTGTAATGCATGATGTTCTTGATGCTATGCCAGAAGGTATTAAGCAAAACAAGGCTAGAGCAATCTTGCAACACTTGAGCGAAGCTTGGCGTTCTGGAAAGCTAATATCCCCTGGAAGGTTCCTGGTTTGCCTCTTCCAATTGAGAACATGATTCTTCGCTATGTGAAATCAACAGCTGATTGGTGGACAAATGTGGCTCATTACAATCGTGAACGTATACGAAGAGGTGCAACTGTGGATAAGACAGTTTGTCGGAAGAACCTGGGAAGGTTGACCCATCTTTGGCTAAAAGCGGAGCGAGAGCGTCAGCACAATTTTCTGAAAGATGGTCCATATGTGACCCCAGAAGAAGCTGTGGCTATTTACACTACCACTGTGCACTGGTTGGAATCCAGAAAGTTCACGCCTATTCCATTTCCTCCTCTTTCATACAAACATGACACAAAACTTTTCATCCTTGCACTGGAAAGGTTGAAAGAGGCATACAGTGTGGCTGTGAGGCTAAATCAACTACAGAGAGAAGAGTTAGGTCTTATTGAGCAAGCTTATGATAATCCACACGAGGCTCTCTCACGCATTAAGCATCATCTTCTTACCCAACGTCAGTTTATAGAAGTTGGCATTGAGTTCATGGATTTGTATAGCTATTTGATACCTGTTTATGAGATTGAACCCCTTGAGAAGATCACAGATGCATATCTGGATCAGTATCTGTGGTATGAAGGTGACAAACGCCATCTTTTTCCAAATTGGATAAAGCCAGCAGATTCAGAGCCACCTCCTTTATTTGTCTATAAATGGTGCCAGGGCGTAAACAACTTGCAAGATATATGGGACACTAGTGAAGGGCAGTGTGTTGTGATGCTCCAAACGAAGTTCGAGAAATTTTTTGAGAAGATCGATTTGACCATGCTTAACAGGCTTCTTCGGCTTGTGCTTGATCATAACATTGCGGATTATGTCACGGCCAAGAACAATGTTGTGCTCTCTTACAAGGACATGAGTCATACGAATTCTTATGGTCTAATCCGTGGACTGCAGTTTGCTTCTTTTGTGGTGCAGTATTATGGACTGGTCCTGGATCTTTTGATTCTTGGTTTGACTCGAGTCAGCGAAATTGCGGGTCCACCACAGATGCCGAATGAGTTCATAACTTATTGGGACACTCGAAAAAGCCAAGCAGGTAAAGTTTTTACTCTGGTGTTGTACTTTTATTTTAAGGAGTGCAATATCAACTTTCAAACTCCTAATCATTTTGACTTGTTGTCTTTCCAGGTTTCCTCCAGTAATATTCTACACACCGAAAGAAATTGGAGGGTTGGGAATGCTATCAATGGGTCATATTCTGATTCCACAGAGTGATCTACGCTATAGTCAGCAGACAGATGTTGGTGTCACACATTTCAGGAGTGGTATGAGTCACGAGGAAGATCAGTTGATTCCAAATCTTTATCGATACGTACAGGTTTGATGATTTTTTTGCTGGTGTCATTTCCTTTCCTTTAATTGTTTTTATAGTTTTGGGGTTAATTTGCTGACCCGCATCTTTGATATCATGACAGGCTTGGGAGAGTGAGTTCATCGATTCCCAAAGAGTTTGGGCTGAATACGCATTAAAGAGACAAGAAGCTCAAGCGCAGAATAGGCGGTTGACTCTTGAAGATCTTGAGGTCAGTGTTGCTGCTGTCTCCTCTTTTTTACATTTTTCCTTTGGCCTATGGTAGTGATTTACTATAGACTGCTATTTTGGTCCACCTGTGTGTCGTGGTGACTTTGTTTTTACATGGAAAGATCCTGTGTTGACATTTCAATTATTCAAGGAGTTGGCTTGCTCTCATATCATTTACTTAATGTTTAGGATTCATGGGACCCGGGGATTCCTAGGATCAACACATTGTTCCAGAAGGACAGGCACACCCTTGCATATGACAAAGGATGGAGAGTGAGAACAGATTTTAAGCAATATCAAGTTTTGAAGCAGAATCCTTTTTGGTGGACCCACCAGAGGCATGATGGAAAGCTGTGGAACTTGAACAATTAGAGAACTGATGTTATTCAAGTACTAGGGGGAGTCGAAGGAATATTGGAGCATACCTTATTTAAGGGAATATAGTACGTTTGACTTCTTCCTCTTTGTTTCAACATAATTTCTGATGTCAGTTGCTCCGATTTGACAATTTGATTGGCTGTCTTTTCTACAGCTTCCCTACTTGGGAGGGTCTTTTCTGGGAGAAAGCATCTGGCTTTGAAGAATCCATGAAATATAAGAAGCTGACCAATGCACAGAGATCTGGGCTCAACCAAATTCCTAATCGTAGATTTACACTGTGGTGGTCTCCTACAATTAATCGGGCCAATGTCTATGTTGGTTTCCAAGTGCAGTTGGATCTGACGGGAATATTTATGCATGGAAAGATACCCACTCTCAAGATATCTCTGATACAGATATTCCGAGCCCACTTGTGGCAGAAGATTCATGGGAGTGTTGTCATGGATCTTTGCCAGGTCTTAGATCAAGAGCTTGATGCTCTAGAAATTGAGACCGCGGAAGGAAACTATTCATCCCAGGAAAAGTTATAAGATGAACAGTTCGTGTGCTGATATACTCCTCTTTGCAGCTCATCGATGGCCTATGTCAAAGCCTAGTCTTGTTGCTCAGTCAAAGGATGTGTTTGATCAGAAAGCTAGCAACAAGTACTGGATAGATGTACAGCTTCGTTGGAGTGATTATGATTCCCATGATATTGAACGGTACACAAGGGCAAAATTCATGGATTATACAACAGACAACATGTCTATATATCCTTCCCCGACAGGTATGCTATTTTGATCTATGGGCATTGTTAAATTTATTTTCATTTGAAACTCCTTTGAACTCCACAAAGATTCTTTTCTCCTTGGGGGTGGTTGAGTTGGGTTCAGGGTTCAATCATACCTTAACTTTCGATTTCTTACAGCAGGGGTGATGATTGGCATCGATCTTGCTTACAACTTGCATTCTGCCTTTGGTAACTGGTTCGCCGGCTCAAAACCATTGCTTGCCCAAGCCATGAATAAGATAATGAAGGTACATTAGTCTTTCCACTTGATGTTTCAGCTCCTTTCTATGTTTTTTATGTTTTGTGGAGATTGTATCTAATATATACTATTTCTAACTTGTTGCTGCAGTCCAACCCCGCTTTGTATGTTCTGAGGGAGAGAATAAGGAAAGGCTTGCAGCTTTATTCATCAGAGCCGACCGAGCCTTACCTCTCCTCCCAGAACTATGGGGAGATTTTCAGCAATCAAATCATATGGTTTGTTGATGACACTAATGTTTACCGGGTCACCATCCACAAGACTTTTGAGGGGAATCTCACGACAAAGTCTATTAACGGCGCAATTTTCATCTTCAACCCGAGAACTGGCCAGTTGTTTTTGAAGGTTTGCTTATTTTCATAATTTATATACGGAATCATCTATCTTCTAGAATGATATTTATGTTTAAGCTTTTTCAGGTGATTCACACTAGTGTTTGGGCTGGACAAAAGCGTCTTGACCAGTTGGCCAAGTGGAAAACAGCTGAAGAAGTTGCTGCATTGGTCCGCTCATTGCCAGTTGAAGAACAGCCAAAGCAGGTTATAGTTACACGGAAGGGGATGTTGGATCCATTGGAAGTACACCTGCTGGATTTCCCAAATATTGTTATTAAGGGAAGTGAGCTTCAATTGCCTTTTCAGGCATGTTTGAAGATTGAGAAATTTGGGGATCTGATATTGAAGGCAACTGAACCCCAGATGGTCCTATTCAACATAGATGATGACTGGCTGAAAAGTATTTCATCACACACTGCCTTTTCTAGATTAATTCTTATCCTGCGCGCACTTCATGTGAATAATGAGAAGGCAAAAATGTTACTGAAGCCTGACAAAACAATTGTTACTGAACCTCATCACATCTGGCTCTCTCTGACTGATGATCATTGGGTTCAGGTAAAATCACTTTGTGCATTAAGTTGTCTAATCACTAGAATTTGGGAGTGCGGGTTTTACTTGTTGGGTTCTTTTATTTTTCCTCGTCGTTTGGGTGGGTGGGGGTGGTGTTTGATCAGTCATGTATAATGAGGGGAAAAAAGGGCTAAACCCTCAGTAGGAACATTGAAACAGCTTTCTGTTTTATGTTTTACATATGTTGTAATTGTCATTGCCAATGTAATGCAGGTTGAGGTCGCATTGAGGGATCTAATATTATCTGATTATGCAAAGAAGAACAATGTGAACACTTCAGCACTCATGCAGACAGAGATACGGAATATTATCCTTGGAGCTGAAATCACTCCACCGTCCCAGCAGAGGCAACAAATTGCAGAGATAGAGAAAGCGGTAATCTTCTTTTTTTGGGTGTCTTTGCAATTATACTGATGTTATATTCAGGGGTGCCTAAAATACTTGGGTTTTATCCAATTCAGCTGATGAGTTGCCCTTTTTGTTTTAGTTTCATTCTTTTAGGCTGGGGAACCTAATCAAATAGCGGTGACCACAAAAACTGTTAATAAAAGCTGAGGGACTCATTTCGATAGCGATCAGTCCATATGAGCAGAAAATACATAGGACTAAGACCGGCTGGCGTGTGAGAGCTGTCTCTGCCACTAACCTTTACCTCTGTGTGAACCACATCTATGTAAACTCTGAGAATATTAAGGTACCTATTGATCTCTCTTCCCAAATGTTATACTAGAATGCAGTATCACATACTGAGGTGGATTGATTTTCTTGGCATTTTCGTCTTGCTTGTGCAGGAAACTGGGTATACGTACATTATGCCTAAGAATGTACTGAAGAAGTTCATCTGCATTGCAGACTTGCGTACACAAATTGCAGGATACTTGTATGGTATATGCCCTCCAGATAATCCTCAAGTAAAGGAAATCCGTTGTATTGTCATGCCACCACAGCTTGGAACTCATCAGGGAGTGAATTTGCCATCAGCTCTCCCTGAGCATGATTTTTTACACGATTTGGAGCCTTTGGGATGGATGCATACCCAGCCAAATGAGTTACGTGAGCTGTCTCACCAGGTGTGAAATTGTTCCGATATTTTTTCTCTCTTTATTTTTCACCTGGAAAGAAGTTTTTGATTTTATTCGGTAGTCACATGTGGCCTGAAATTAGTTGTCTGTGTACGTAGGATCTTATTAGTCACACGCGGATTCTGGAGAACAAGGAGCCATGGGATGGAGAGAAGTGCATTATCTTAACATGCATTTTTACGCCAGGCTCCTGCTCATTAACTGCATATAAACTGACACCATCTGGTTATGCTTGGGGGATTGATAAGAAGGATAATATGAGCGGTCCTGCTGGTTATTTGCCAACACATTATGAGAAGGTTCAGATGCTTTTGAGTGATCGTTTCCTTGGTTTCTACATGGTAAGGCTGTAGGATTATGCCCTTCTTCGTTTTTTTCTCATTTGTTTTATTTTGTAATTCTTGTCTCGATAATCTCTTTTGATTTCTGGTGGTTCCTTTTTTAGATTCCAGAAAATGGTCGGTGGAACTACAACTTTATGGGAGCGAAGCATGATACAATCAAGGAATATGGACTGGAGCTGGGAACTCCAAGGGAGTATTATCATGAAGACCATCGGCCAGGACATTTCATTGATTTCAGCAACATGGAAGACGGCATTCCAGAAGCTGACTGCGAGGATACATTCACTTGAACTTTGCCTTCCGTGGCATCCAAAGCATGTGGAGTCGCCTTCTAGAGAATGGAAATTTGGAAACTTACGTATTCTTACATGGCTTGCTGTTTAGAGTTTTGTGTATATTCTCAACTCACTGAGAAGTAGAGAGGGTTAAGGCTCTGTTTTAGTAGCCGTTGAAGCTGTAAATATGTTTTTGCTGCTAATAGACGCAGGAAATGTCATGCTTCCTAATGGGATAACCCGATTTATATTACATCATATATAATCATTTTTATTAACAAAATGATGACCTGCCAACCTAGAAAATGGTTGAAGTACCCAGAGACTAGAAATAAAAACATCCTTAACGTGTTCCATTCGCTATCCAATTAAGATCAAGTTAAGAATTCTCCTCATTTTATTCGGCAAGACATCAAAAAGAGATTAGTATTTGCGAGTATAATACCCAAAAACCAAAAGCTTATAAAAGGCAATTCATCTTAGCCGTGAAGTGTAGCTAAACCCCAAGTTTTTTTTTTCTTTTTTTTAAATTTTATATTACGAAGGTTCTCAAAAATAGCTGGTGTCATTCGGATGCGAGTACAATGAAGTGAGGGGGTACGGAGAATCCATTCATTAGGGCTCAGAGTTCTGGTAACATATTACTTTACCTTTTCTTTTTTCTCGTAAGAGAATCCATCCTTAACTAGAAAACCAAAAGCAGCTTCTTTGTTAGTGCGAATTGGTCACAAATCTAAACTCTCTAAACAAGGTATGTGTTCCCTTATTACACATTATGATTCATTTACCAAAAACAAAAAAAATGCTTTCATTAATTGTATTCCCACCATTACCAATTGCGCTTGTTCGGTAGTAATAATAATATAGCTATATAATTTAGAAAAAGAAGGGAAAGAAAACACCCTAAGAAAACATATGGTCTGCGGCTGCGCAGCTTCTTTCATTCTTCTGACATTTGAAAGCATGGAAAGCTACAACGGAGAAACGACGAGATTCAAAAAATGCAAAACTGAAAATACATTCTTGAAGAGTGCCGGCGGTGATGATATTCAGGACAATTATACACCTGAGTGGTTTTTGTTTGAATTTTTGTTCAAACCTCCAACAAAAGATGTGTTTAGGTTTAAGTCCGTCTCGAAACAATGGTTGCCTTTGATCTCTACTACTCCCTCTGTCCCCAGATTATTGTTCAGTTTGAGATTTCACTTTTAGTACAATTTGAATTAGAAATGAAAACCCAAAGTGGACAATAATTATGGGATGGAGGGAGTACTAATTTTCCCAGTTTATACATCTCCAGAAGGGCATTAAGGCCGTTCGTAATCTCTTTCAACTCAAGAGTTCAGTTGGTTGAAGAATCAAAGCGCGAACGAGATTTGCTATTTTCCATGTACGACCAGAAGCTTACTTTACCAAACTCTTTGATCCGAGACTCAAACGATACGATTGAGATCTTAGCAGCTCACAATGGATTTCTTTTGCTGGGAGGAAAGGTGGAGATGCCAAAGCGTCCGAAACCGGTGCCGGTGAGGGACGAGAGTTTCTTTGTTAAAAGTTACCATGCTGAGTTTTACACATGTAATGCTATGACCAAGCAATGGTTTGCTCTTCCCTTACACGATTTTTTCAAGCGAGCCAATGTAGGGTTTATTACACGCGCCGAATCCGGAGTTTTGACAAGTTATAAAGTCGTGATAGTTCGATGTGCAATTAGGGCTCAGAATACACTTGAGTTTGAGGTGTTTTCTTCAGAGACAAAAAGATGGGTTGATCTGAAAGTAGAATGTGATCCTCCAGTTTTAGTCTCCGTTTTCAAGAAACCTGTACTTCAGAACAACACTCTCTTTTGGAATTTTCGTTCCAATGATGGAAGTACTGGATTTTTCGAAGAAGGAAGAGGAGGAATCCTAGCATATAATCCTGATGATTATAAGCTCCAAATTATTGGTTTTCCACCTAATTTAAGCGAACAAAGTCGGCTCGACTCGCTTGGAAAAGAGGCTTGCACTTTTGGCGTCTCTGAAGGACGAATCAAGTGTTAAGACAATGGGAACCGATGCATTTGATTGTTTTCAAAGTTTCGAGATTTGGGAGTTTCGGGATGACGAGAAATGGTATATTCAGCATACAGTTGAGGTTGAAGATGTTATATCTCCTTCTTGTTTACGTATAGGACCTTATCAGCTTGATGGTATGGATCACGTGACGTTTATGTCATTCCATCCATTTGATCCGGATGTTGTCTATTTTTATAATTGGGGTTTCGAAATAGAAAAATTATTCCATACAGCAAAGTGTGTCTTTTTTTAGTGTAATAACACACTATTTATACTGGAAAATATCATGGCCCCTTAATTTTGTGACAAATTTTACGGTAAAATTACAATCTTGCCTATTTATGTCTCGCTGCACAATTCTACGTGGTGGAACAGCTGTATGAAAGACTTTCTCTTGAAAATAAACTTGGGTTTGGTGTCGTACAACATTCGGACAAAGAAGCGACAACTTGAACCGGTCGATGTGGAACGATACAAATCCGAGTATAACTCAAAATGGTCAGATACATCTGAGAATTTCTTGTTGGTGCTTCCAGCTTGTCCGCTCTCCATTCCATCTTCACTGTGTAAGAGCTATGATGCCAGACGGAAAGAAACTAATAGATTAGAGTATTAGGCTCCATTTGGATATGAGTTTTAAACAAATTTTAAAGGCTAAAAAGTCTCTGTTTAGAGTTAAAATGTGTTTAGACAAAATAATTAAAATCTTTTTTAAATATCAATTTGAAAAAAAAAAGTTTGAAATAGACTTTTTAAAAAATAGGTAGAGGGTATTTTTGAACTTTTTGAAACAGTCTTTTTGTCTCCGTTCGCGTGTCTCAATCTAGATTGAATGCGGGTTATAAAAAATCGGGTCATGAATATCATTAACAAGACCAAAAAAAAAAAAGGTACGTTACACGCGCGGCTCCCTTCCTCTTCCCATCTCTTCCTCACTCTGTTTTCGACCCCACTTTTCTTTTTAATTTTTATTTATTTTCAGTTTTCTCTTATTTTTTCAAATGACCATATCTTTTAATATATAATAATTAGACAACGTGCTGTATATCAAATTAATCTACACGACGTGCTATATATCAAATTAATCTATGCGACAAGATCTTTCTATTAAGATCCATTGTTAATATTTTTAGAATTAAAAATTTCATTCAAATTTATATATCAAAATTAATGTATATGTTGTTTGATTATTATGTATATGAAAAGTTAATTTTTTTAACCAAAAAAGGTAAATCTTTATTTATTTTCTTTTATTTTTATCCTTCACTAATTACATTTTGAACTTTTTTTTAATTTTTCAGCATTTGTTTCTTTTTATTATATTTTTTTTAAAAAATATTTTTCACAAATTATTTGTCTTTGAGTATAAAAGAATTTAATTTTTGTTTTTTAGTAAAATAATACTTTTGTATCACATTTATTTTCTTTTTAATGATGTCATAAATATAATGAATTTACTGTTAGTACGAATACAACTGTAGTAACGACAGAAATTAGAAATCAATTAAAAAATTATCTGTTAGTATTTGTTTATCATAACTTATTATGTATTTAATAAGTTAGAATAGTATAAATATTATGCATTTAATTTAGTTAGAATGGTTTTAAATCTACACTCTTGTTTTGATTTATGTTGGAGAGGTAAAGTGTGTTAGAGAAAATTTAGAACAAGATAATTGTGAATAATAAAAAAAAAATTTAGAAAAGAAAAGTGAAAAAAATGAAAATAAAAATTTTTGAAAGAATAATTTTATTTTTTTCAAAAAAAGTTAATTAATTATTTTTTTAACAAAAAGTACTTTTGAAAAAGACCTAATCCAAATGGCTTTTTCACATTTTTAACTCGTAAAAAGGTTTTGAAACTTTTGCTTCAAATAGACTTTTCTGAACAATTTTTTAAAACTCTTGTCCAAATAGAGCCTTAATTACTCCATCTGTCCTAAAATTATTGTCTAATTTGAGATTTTACTTTTAGTACAATTTGAACTAAAAACGAAAGCTCAAATTGGATAATAATTATAGACGGAGGGAGTACTTTTTTCTATAAGGATATTTTGGTTATTTTAGTTTAGTTAGATTAGGGTTTATTTCTTTTGTTTTCTATTTAAAGTTTTAGCTGCCATTATAAACTTGAGTTGTTGATTTTATAAAATTGAGATTATTTTCTTTGCCAAATTTGCGGGTCTACTTATTGGTGGAATTTTTTATGGCTTGGATCACGGGTTTCGTGCATGAAATCAACAGAGTTTAGGAAAGTTGTATTTCTGGATATTCACAGAACGGATTAATAACAGTTACTTGTTAGGGTTCAAGATTAGAGCTTTTCGTTGGCTGCATTAAGCTACGAGCTAGGAGCTGAGGAATTTGACTTACATCATGATGCAATTTATGCTCTTACAGTAATGACGTGTTTCAAGGCTATTTCATCCTTTTATTTTTATTTAATGTTGTGTTTGTTTTAGTTTTTCTGGATTTTACTTTCTGGTGTAAACGAGTTGAGCTCCATGCATGAGCAATTCCGTCAAAAGTTTTTCCTGCTTGTTTGGGTCGTGGCTTCACCTTACTGGTTTTGTTTAGGGTTTAAACATTTTTACAAGGTCAATAAAAGTTCTCCTTTGCTGTTACTTCAGCTGATGATTAATTAATGATGATATGTCAGAGAGATTTTGCATGGCTTTTGTGTGGATGATATTGTTCAACAAAGTTTAGACAATTCGTTCAGATCGATCTACGTAGATTCCTTGATATGCTGAATTTAAGTATTCATTTGAATACTATTTGCTGCGTTAATTCCCTGTATTTTTATTTAATCAAGGAGGTGAAAGAGACTATGATTAATAAGCTGTGTAAGAAAAGCATAGGGCTAGCTTAAATAAAGATAGTCACTTACTAATTATAGATAGCATGATTTACACCACAAAATTAAACTGAAATTGTGAAATGAATAAACATTTTCTACATACTTTTTCATAATATCAAAAGATAATCATAATTAGATTGAGCCGTCCCGCCAATATCACTCAAGCTCTCACCTCCACTGTCAAGAATACCTTCTTGTTGTTGTTGTGATCCATGATCCCGCAAGAAGACATTGGCAACAAGAAGCCATTTTCACTAATCAGCACGCCACTTTCAATCGACCACCAAAAAAAAAAAACCATTTTCATATAAATAAACCAACCAAAAAACCAGCTCCCATGGGATATAAACTAAGGTAAAAAGCAAAGATCAAATCTGAAAAGACGGGAGTAGTTTTGGCTAATTAATCTAATCATACGTGTGTGGGGGTGGGGTTGTTGGGTGGGGGGGGGGCGGCGGGCGGGTGTTGTTTGAAATGAGAAGAAGTGGCTCAACAATGAATGTCTCTCTATATATTACAACATAATGAGGCCAAGTAAATGAACATATGAAAATGTGGAGAGATTGATGTTTTGTTACGGTTTTGCAATTAAAAACTTCTATTTACTACATATGTACTATATATGTACTATATCTACAAAAATATTATTTATTTTTCATTTAATACCAGCATCTTTCCATCTTTAACTAAAAGTATTTATACCTAAAATAATTCAAACAAATTCGACGCGTAGCCTAATTAGGTTTCACAAGTTATTGAGAAAAAAGAGGTGAATACCAATGTTTAAAGTCTTTTAGATTGGATCTCAAATGGATCACAGTAAAGCCATGGCCAAATACCTTTTTTTTTTTTGGGAAAATAATGGCCAAATACCTGGAAATCACATATCCAGCTATATCTTTTACCTTGGTGTAGAAGTATTGTTATTATTACAATATGCTTTGAAGTTGCTTATTTTAATGATTGGACCTGTGACACATAATACCATTCTGACGGAATTGGATGCTATTTTATTTTTCATATTAATTCTATATTTTTAATGAAACTTTCAGCTTTTATCGAATTTTTCTAACGGTTAAAATTAAAATAAATAAGTTGTAATCCGGAAAAATGACTCTTAATTTTAAAATATATAACTTCCAAAGTCTCTACGAAAAATGAAAATATTAATACAAATAACAAAAATTATGTAAAGTTATTAAATTTGTTATAACATAAAGTGTAATAGAAAAATGTTACGGATCCAGGATCTCATGTCTCATTTCGGCAAACAACCGCATGCACCAAATTCGAGTTTTTTTTCTCTTTAACTCGAGACTCCAACCTAAACCCAGAAGAACTGCAAATGCATTCCACACCTAAAATGATAAGAATTTCCATTGTGGTAAAGAAAAATAAATTTCAAAATCTCGTCGGACAGTAAAATTTTACTTGGTAATTTTTGTTTGAGAGTTGAATTCTTCCCCGCATTCTTCTGATCTCCTCGTAGGAAGGGAGTTTGTTACTTGTAAGTTGTAACTTTCCAGAGTGACGATCCACACAAGGATGAAGTAAGACATTCTCTTCGACCAAAAACACCTATTCCTCCGTATCATATTAATCTGCAGTTGACCATTCCAACAATTAAACCGATACAAAAGTATGAAAAGAAGTACAATATTATGAAATGTATATGTAATAATTTATCCGGCATATTGTGCGGTGATGTGATGATCTATAAATGATAAGAATAAAAAAAAGGCAAAAAAAAACTTACGGATGATTGACTGTAACGACAACGATCATAAACAATTTTTTTTTTTTACTGAATATTCTTTTTGTTCCAAAATTAATGTCCAGTTTAAATTGCCATTTGTATACTAAAATTAAAAATTTAAACCGAAAAATAATTTTGAGACGGAAGAATATAGCATCACTTCGAAGAAAAAAGTCGAGGGATTCAGTTATCAAGTTTGTCGTTTGTAATATCTATAGTATTATATTAAGAGAGAAAACAAAAAAGAATTCTAAAGGTGCCAAATAAAATAAAATCCTATGTGTCATTTTTATATTGGTTGAGTCAAAAAATATTTACAACAATCATATTAATAGTCATTCAAATTTTATGTAAATAAAGTTTTATCAA